GTTTGTAAATTCAAATATGCATTTTCCCTTGAGTAAGCTCACCAGTTAGTTCAATATATTTTTTAAGGATTTATTTATTTACTTGAAAGTCAGAGTTACACAGAGAGAGAAGGAGAGGCAGAGAGAGGGAGGGAGGGAGGAAGGGAGAGAGAGAGGAAGAGGGAGAGAGAAAGAGAGAAAGAGAGAAAGAGAGAGAGAGATCTTCCATCTGCTGGTTCACTCCCCAATTGGCAGCAATGGCTGGAGCTGCACCAATCCAAACCCAGGAGCCAGGAGTGTCTTCTGGGTCTCCCATGTGGGTGAAGGGCCCAAGTACTTGGGCCATCTTCTAATGCTTTCCCAGGTCATAGCAGAGCCTGCATCAGAAGTGGAGCAGCCAAGACATGAACTGGCACCCATATGGGGTGACAGCACTGTAGGCAGTGGCTCTACCTACTATTCCACAGTGCCAGCCTCAGTTCAATATATTTTTAAAGGATTTTGGGCAGGTAATTGGCATGGCAGTTAAGATGCCACTTTTATACGTGTATGCCATATTAGAATACAAGGTTTGAGTCCCAGCTCCTTTGCTTTCTATCCCACACCATGCTAATGTGCACCCTGGGAAGCAGCAGGTGATCACTAAAGTACCTGGATCTTTGCCACCCACTTGAAGACCGAGATAGTTTCAAGTCCCTGACTGAGGTTTTATTCATCCCTGGCTGTTAGGAGTATTTGGGGAGTGTACCAGCTGATAGGAGATCTTTTTGTTTCTCTTCTGTTTCTGCCTTTCAGGTAAAATGAAAATAAATACAAATAAAAATAAAATAAAAAATTCTGGATGCTAGGATGAAACCTAAGTTATTAAAAAAAAAGCAGCAAAATCTTTGAGACCAGAAACCATAAATGGGAAAAATTGAGTTTGGAGCTTATAGTGACATTTCCAGCTAACTTGGATGAGAAGGCATTAAAAAACTGCTCAAAGGGAGATCTGAAAATTCTGAATGTGGTGAGAACCATAAATAATAAACACACAATAGAATGAGTTTAGGCCTTCAAAAGATTTGTTCTTAAAATAAGATTCAAAGCATAGAAAAATTTGAACGTAAGAAAATATGCAAGTGTGGCTTTAAGGTTTATTTTAGAGCTGAGCTTGTATGCATATTGGTGAACGTGAATTATATACAGGGCTAATCTAAGACTATTTTTAAGGATTTATTTATTTATTTGAAAGAGTTACACAGAGAGAGGACTATACCTTTTGACAAAGTAATTTCATTTCTGGGGGTTTATTCCAAGGAAACAAAAGGAATAGACCACAAAGAAATCTGCACAGGGTGCTCCTCACAGTGTTGCTTGTAATAGCAATCAATCAACAAATAAATAGGAAAAATGGAGGACAACATTCACAATGCCATCAGAAAATGATTAGCTGAGTCAGTGATGGAACTTCCAACAAAATTAGTTTTCCAACTGGATCTTACCATTAATTCTTACCCCTCTACTATCCAGTCTCCTCAAGATGAGTGAACTCTTTAAAGCACCAGCCACAAAAAAGATCTCCAGGCTTAAGATCTACCAAAATTTTCTGATTTTATTATTTATTCATTGGACAAAACATTTTAATTAAAAATTAAAATATGGACATTATATATTCATTTATTATGTACAATAGATATTTCAAAAAGTTTGAAGAAAATGGAATTTAGAAGTACATTTATTTGGTACATGAAAACTTGAAAGACAGGCATATAAGAGAGTCTTTACAAACTCATTAAAAATATGTTATAAAAATCTATATATAAATTTCAAGTTTTTCTGAACCAAAATAATGTTTCATTTTACAAAAATTTTTGCAGTACCACTGTAAATATTGTTTTAGAAATATGTATGAACTCTGGAATGGATAAAGAAAGGGACTTAATATACATATCACCTTGCATATATTTTGAGTTAGAACTACTTAAATCTATTTTCTCATCTTTTTGGAAAATATAATTCATTATTATTTACTATATTCACCATGTTTCACTTCTTTTCTCCATCTTACAAGTCAAATAAGTATTAAAAATTTTGTATTAATTTTATTAGATTTCATGTATTTCCATATTAAATTCTAAAGATATGCATGGTTCCCTACCACCCATCCTCCCCCCCTTTTTCAAGCCCCTTTCTTCCTTGCTCTCTTTTCTCTCAATTTTTGCAAAAATATATTTTCAATCCACTCTGTAATCACAGTCTTAATATGTCACTAACCATAATATTCAACAATTAAAAAGTAGCAACTTCCATCCTTTAATTACACACTTACCTTTTCTTCCCCTCATAAAGATCCTTAATTTTTCTGTTTGCTTCCTCATCTTAAATGTTCTCTCCCTTGCTTCCTTATTGAACATTAAACCTCATTATTATGTTTTAAGCTAAAATATTTCCCATTAATGAAACCTTTCAAACTATTTGATCTAAAGCAACCTTTTTCTCCTGGGCTAGGATATATTGAATTATAATGTCTTTTTTTCCCCAGAGCATTAAAAAAACTTAAACTATTTTTACTTAAAAATATATTGTCTGTACCACCTTTTTAAAATACGCTCTATGATTGAAGAGTCCTGCAATTCAGGCCACTTCTAAATGTGTAGTGAATTAATAGAAAAATAAGGTACATGAATCTCTTTTGCATCAACACATGCTGGCAATTAACAGGCAAGCCCATAAAGTAAAAATTCAGACAATCACAGTAGTCCTGTTTGTTTTGAAAAATTGATTTAGAAGTGGACAAAAACATGCAGTTGACAATACATAAGAGACTTGCTATGTCTGGGAATTTTACTGCTTTTCTAAAAGAAATCAGGAGATATATTGCTCTATGAGAATGTGATATATCCTGAGGGGCCATGGCCATTTTGCAGTCATGGAAGGGGTGGTTGCTGTGCTGTGATTACATGCATATACACTTGTAAAGAATGGGTCTCTAATGGATCAACCACTAATTTACCAATCAGAACATGAGTTCCAGGTACAGAAATGAAAGCACATGTAGCCTGTGATGGCTGCAGGTATATGATATTGAGGACACTGGGAGACAGACAGGGCCTGCACATAAAGGGGTTGAAAACATAGAAGGGAATAAAGAGGATGCAGTAAATCAGTACTTAGAGATAATTTATACCCTTCAATGATTATGTTAGAATAAAACACCAAAAAGCAATCATTACAGCTTTCTTGTCAAGAATTATAAAGAAAAAAAACTCAAAGAATATGGAATTAAATAAGACAAAAGATAATAACAGGCATAATGAAATGCTGTAAAAAAGTACAAGCAAATAAACAAGAATACAATTTTTAAGAAATGTTACCAAAAACCAAAACCAAAACAAAACAGAATGTTAGCAAAGTTAATAAAAGATTATTAAAAGTGATTAAGTAAAGAAAAGGAAAAGTCACACAAATAACCTATTTCAGGAATTTAAACAATCATTCTTTTTTAGAAATTATAGCTTTTACCAACCTACTTAGAGAAATGTGTGAAATCCTTAGGAGTAAAATTCTGACAAAACAGATCAAAATCTATCATACTTTGAAAATAAAATTCCCAAAACACAAATATAACATAAAATAGAAAAATTCCTACATAAACCAAGTAAGTTGAATCGCATTTTGAAAGCTACAACCAACCAAGAAAAAAAGTTAAACAATCAAAATTTCAGAACCATACTTACAGGTATATTCCCAACTTCTAAGGAAGAAAAAAGAAACCTGTTTCTCAAATCTGTGCACAGTGGAAATAAGCAGAGAATACTTTTTAATTTCTTTTGAAAAACCAGCATTACAGTCGATGATGATGCAAATGTACCAGGACTTGAAATAATTTTCAAAAGCATACCTTTCATAAACAGATACAAATATTCTAAGCAAAGTATTATCATAATAAATGAAATGATATAGGAAAACATAATAGATTGATCACAACCAAGAGATAAAAAATACAAGAGTTGTCAAGATTCCAAAAACAGCCATCCAAATAGGTGAAAAATGCGAAAAGACAATCACATGATTGTTTATATTACATGTTGAAAACTTTTAATAAAAGTCAACATCTAATGAAAAAAGCCTTACTATCAGTAAAAACAAACAGAAAGTAACTTCTTCAATCTGATCAAGATTAAAAGAAACCTACAACAACCAACACAACTAAAACAGGATTATTGAAAGCTTTTCCCTGGAAGTAAGCCTACACCCAGATGCCACCACTGTTTCTTTTCAACTTTCTACTGTAAGGGCAATCAGGGAAATAAAATGGCATAAACATGTAAAGTTCAATTTCTCAGGAATAAAATTGTGTGTATACACACTCACAATTACATAGGATGTCACTAAAATACATAGGTAATTCATAAAATCTAAAAAGCAATACAACTGATAAACAATATTACTGGAAAAATTAATGCATAAAATCCACTAATTACTAAGTACCAGCGAGAAACAAACAGAAAATAAAAGGGCAAGGGGCAGACTAGAAAACAAATATCTACAAGAGAGATGAAAGAAAAAAAGGATAGAATTGTGCAGTATCTGTAAGCATTCTTAAAATCAATATGAAAAATCCCATAGAGAAATGAATCAGAAATATGAAGAAAATGAAAAAGATCAAAGCCAATAAATAGCCAATGCTCTCTAACTCACCCTAAGCAGGTTACTGCAGCCTCCAGACAGCATTCTCCCAGGAAGACCCATGCGGAGGCAGGAGGGTCCCAGCAGGTGGCAGGATCCCACTGGTGAAAAGGTGCAGCCCTAGAGGAGGCCCTTGGCACCTAAACCCAGGCCTCACCTCTCTGCCTATCTGGAACGGCCTGGAGTTCCCATCCCTGATGTAAACGATGCTGATTTGTTGTGTCTTCAGGGTCCTGCATGCTGATGGCTATGCAAGCTGTCCAATCAGGTGTCATGGTGTCACTGCCACATAATCACTGGTTTGTGACATCATAAGAGTGTTCCAATTTCAAGGGGGAGAGAGGTCCAAAGAGCAGTCTGCCGCTGTGAGACTCCGGAGCTAGTACAGCATCTGCTGTTCTCTGACTTTTTCCACTCAACATGGCCCATCCTGGATGCCCGGGAATGGTGAGTGTGTGGGGCCAGGCGTCCAGAGTCAGGGAAGGTGTAGCTGGGGGTACCTGATGGCAGGACGCTGGATCCCAGAGGTCATCCTGGAACCTTGGGCCCCATCTCACTGCCTGCACAGCACCTCCCTGGGTTCCTTGTGGTCTACAGGGTGGGGCCTGGACTGGCACCCTGGACCCAGGAACCCTGCCCCATCCCTGTTAGTGGAGAAGTCTTGGGCCCAGAGCCATCTGTGGCGAGCTGAGTGACAGCAGCCCCAATTCTCCTCTGACTGTGAAGTGTGGATGGAGTGGCCACTAGGGAGAAGCAGTGCTGTGTGTATGGGGTTCATGCACATGAAGAGTTGTCATCTGTGAGGTCTTCAGTTCCTCCTTTCTTCTCATGTGGGAAATAGGGTCTCAGTTCCAGGACCTGGCCTTTCTGCGTAGCTTTCTGGGAAATACCCCATTTGTTTTAGTATGTGTAATTATTAACAAAACATAGTGTAGAATGCCTAATGATTTCTAAAATTTATAAGGAGGTTGAAACTGTTTATATTTATCAAACAGTTTTTATGTGAGACTGTCAAGAAAACTTGAAAAAAGTTCTATGTTATTACACACAATCCATTTTTATAGAGATCATATAAATAGATGTTTTTGCACTGATATTTGGTAAATAATGAAAGATTTCCCATGAGACTTTTTGTAAAGGAATTAGGACACATATTGGTTTCTCACTTAATGTCTCCATTTTCAAATATTGTTTATAGCCATTGACTATATTCCCACTAAACTAGGGTCTTTTTGCATTGTACTCGTTAAACTTTTTTTGGTGAAATATTAAGACTTTTTTACTGTAAAGTGTATTTAAAATGTTATCTCAAAAACTAAAAAATACAAGGAAGAAGTCTGGGAGAGAGGATGGATATATCATTATGTTCTTAAAATTGTGTATACAAGCCATATTGCATCTGTTTAAAAACACCAATTTGGCAAATATTTAAATGTACAATTTGACACATATTTAAAACAAAGTAGTGAGACATTGTAGATATTTTTATTTTGATTATCATTCTTATCTAGGAGATCAGAAAGAAGTCCTATTTTCTCATGTTAAAATAGCCTAATATGGCTGGCACTGCAGCTCACTTGGCTAATCCTCCACCTGCGGCGCCAGTACCCAGCTTCTAGTGCCAGTTGCTCCTCTTCCAGTCCAGCTCTCTGCTGTGGCCCAGAAGTGCAGTGGAGGTTGGCCCAAGTGCTTGGGCCTTGCACCCGCATGGGAGACCAGGAGGAAGCACCTGGCTCCTGGATTCAGATTGGTGCAGCATGCCAGTCACAGTGCACCAGCCATAGCAGCCATTGGGGGGGGGGTGAACTAATGGAAGGAAGACCTTTCTCTCTCTCTCTCTCTCTCACTGTCTAACTCTGCCTGTCAAAAAATAGCCTAATATATTAGAGTGGATAGAGTTCCTGGCTCCTGGCTTCAGTATGGCCCAGTCCTGGCCATCGTGGCCATTTGGAGAGTGGACCATCAGACGGAAGATCTATCTCCCTCACTGTCTCTATAACTGCCTTTAAAATATATAAATAGTTTGAAAATTCCTTAACTTCATTCTAAAATGTGTCTCTGTTTATATGTATGCATTAATGTGCATATCATAGAACATTTGGAAAATTTAATATAGCATATGGGAAGAGATCAAATCTCCTCTATATTCAGTCACTTAATAGTTACACACAGATACATGCATATACATGTATACTTTTAAAAACAAAACCATGACCAAAATAGACATGCTACTTTGTAGTCTACTTTTCCTAGTCAACAGTGTGTATGTGTTTTTCCTTTCAGGTTGTTAACTATTCTTTTTAAAGGTCGTAATTTTAATTGGCTGAAAAAATTAACCTCTCCTTTTGACAGCTTAATTTTTAACAATTTTCTATGATGAATAATTATAGTAAACACCCTTCATATGACTCATTATTCATATGTCTGATTTTTAAGATTAGACTGCTTTGTGTAAATTTGAATTACTAAGCTTGAGGTTAATTATATATAAATGAATGGAGGGCCCAGCACTGTGGCATAGCAGGTAACACTGCCACCTGCAGTGCCGGCAGTGTTGGTTCAAGACCTGGCTTCTCCATTTCCAATCCAGTTCCCTGCTGTGGTCTGGGAAAGCATTAGAAGATGGCCCAAGTCCTTGGGCCCCTGTACCCCTCTAGGAGACCTGGAAGAAGCCCCGACTGTTGTGGCCCATTGGGGAGTGAAACAGCAGGTGCAAGACACCTTTCTCTCTCTCTCTCCCTCTCTCTCTGCATCTTCCTCTCTGTATCTCCTTGAAATAAATAAAAAAAATCTTAAAAAAATTAAATGAATGGAACAAATTTAATGTATTTTGCATATATGGTTTTAAGAGAATAATGATACTTCCCACTCTACCCTCTCTCTCTCCCTCCCTCCTCCTTCCTTTATTATTTTCCTCTTAATTTTTACAATGACATACTTTTAATTTACTTTATACACAAGCTTAACCCTCCACTAAATAAAGAATTCAACCAGTAACAAGCTGTAATTCAGTAAAAAGCAAACAAAAAAAATCAACCAACCAACCAAACAAAAAACCCCCACTGTTTCTCAAGAGTATAGACCAGGGCTAAAAAAGTCAAATGTAAAAATCTCAATTTTCATCATGTGCACTACATTTCTTACTCTGTATATTAACCATAATAAATCAGGGAGACATATGCTATTTACTTTTATGGGGCTGGATTATTTCAGCATAATAATCTCCAGTTGCATCTAGTTTCTTGCAAAAAAAAAGGATTTAATTTTTTTAATGACTGAGTAGCATTCCATTGTGTGTGTGTGTGTGCATCTCACAATCTCATTAATTAGTTATCAGTTGATGGACTCCTGGCTTCAGATTGGCCCACCCCTGGCCATTGTGGCCATTTGGTGAGTGAATCAGCAGATGGTTTCTCTCTCTCTCCCTCTCTTTAATGCTGCCTTTAAAATAAATCTTTTTTTAAATAAAAGAACTATCCTGTGGTTTCCATTGAAAACCCCTTTAACCAGAATGACTGGCCACTTGGCCTTCATTCCTTTTGGACATCGACATCTGGATCATGCAGCATGACCTCACGGTCACAACCCCAGGAGGACTGCCCAGGCTGTGGAGAAGAAGGCCTGAAGTGGAACTGCTGCTAAAGGGCAGCTAGACTGGTCCAGTAACCAACCCACTCAGGCCTGTAAACTGACTCAGTTTAATGGCTGGGGGGTGACTGTGAGCCACACTCAGGGAAGACACAGCACACATTCATCACCGACCTTGTGGTGGGGCTCTCACAGGACACATCAAGACTGGTGAACCCTGCCGCTTGGAGCATATGGCCAAACATAAAAAAACTCATGAGGATTGAGGTAAAGCTACCACTTGCAGTGCCGGCATTCCATATGGGTACCAGTTTGAGTCCCGGCTGCTCCACTTCCAATCCAGCTCTCTGCTGTGGCCTGGGAGAGCAGTAGAAGATGGTCCAAGTCCTTGGGCCCCTGCACCCATGTGGAAGACCTGGAGGAAGCTCCTGGCTCCTGGCTTCAGATTAGCACAGCCCCAGCTGTTGCAGCCAATTGGGGGAATGAACCAGCAGATTGAAGACCTCTCTTTCTCTCTGCCTCTCCTCTCTGTGTGTGTAACTGTGACTTTCAAATAAATAAATCTTTTAAAAAAGTTCCATTAACCTGAAGGCCATGTGAGAAACAGGAGACCCTGGGACTCCACTGGACACACCCAGCCCTTGAGACCATTTCCCTGAAATAAGCACTGGTGCTAAACAAACAAATAAAATCAATCAATCAATAAATAACTGTTAGCAAAATTTGCTTTCTGTATTCATTTACATGCTGAAAAACTTAAAAATTAAATGACAGGATACAAGAAATTGTTTAGAATTAGAGTTATATTATGATAAGTTGGTTATAAATGAGAATACACTACATGCTTTCAATACATAGGGAGGGGCCTGCACTGTGGCATAGCAGGTAAAGCTGCCACCTGCAGTGCCAGCACCCCAAATGGGCACCGGTTCAAGTCCCAGCTGCTCCCCTTCCAATCCACCTCTCTACTATGGCCTGGGAAAGCAGTAGAAAATGGCCCAGGTGCTTGGACCCCTCCACCTGCATGGGAGACCTAGAAGAAGCTCTTGGCTTCGGATCAGTGCAGTTCTGGATGTTGCGGACATCTGGGGAGTGAACCAGTGGATTGAAAGAGTTCTCTCTCTGTAACTCTGTCTTTCAAATAAATAAAGCTTTTAAAAAATACATAAGGAAAAATACATTTTCAGAATAATGATTCCCAAGAAAAACACTTGTGAAAAAGATTTATTTTTTCCAAACATGGAAACATCATGACAGAATTTACCAAAGGACCATGACTTATTTTTAGGCCAATCGCAAAGGAAGATGAAAGGTATCAACTGATTTTCTAAAATTCTGAAATGAATCTTGAACTAGAATTAAAATTATGATAGCTAAATGCTCTTTCACTGACTTTAAGGAGAGAGACAAGCTATGAATCCTATGACAAACTTTCCCAATAGAAATATGCAGAGAAAATATCTGCAGATTCAAAATGATTGCGCTGGGAATCATGAGTATTGATTATAAAGGGAATGTAATCAAAGTGCAGAATTTAAAGGCAGATGTCCAAGGTCCAGCACAGAAGAGAGGTGGGGAGCTATAGGAAGTTCAGCAGGCTAAGGTCTATAGTGGCCTTATGCAATGGGAATGTTTATAAGGGGGAAAGGAGATTGAAAAAGTCATTTCAAATATGTTTATAAGCAAAAGTCTTTATCCCATATCAAGTGAAAAGAAGAAATGTGACCAATTGGCAAGTTTTAAGGAAACCTGCTCTTGAGTTAAGAGAGATTAGTGATTTTTTCCCTGATGAGAAAATGAACTTTTCAGGAAATTCTGAAAAACTCTTAAAAAAGATTTATTCATTTTTTGAAAGGCAG